AAAGATTTCTATTAAAAATGTAAAAAGGTTTTGTGATATATTAATAACAGCGGGGCATTAAGTTAATGCATATTTTTTGTGGAGCGAGCGAATTGAGGAAGTCTGCTATTTTTATTTGACGGAAGAAAAAAACATATGATTGAAAAAAAACAAAACAACCAATGCCGGTTCTTAAAAAAAATCAGTCAGTGTTTTCGTTTTGTAATCTAAATGAATCATTTAAGTGGAAAAAAATTCAGGGCAAGTCTATTTATTTTATTCATTTATTTAGTTTATTCTGTTTTTCTATGCTATTGGAAACACTGCAGGTGTTGTTATGTTCTGTTATTAATATGCTAGCATGTTAAAATAAATCAGCATTTTAAAATGTAATATTTAATGTGTCAGACACAATAGACACGTCAATTTGTTTTAAAAATGTTTATAATAATTTAATAGTAATCTGACCATTTAACCGTTAATAAGCGATTAACGAGCGGCGGTTGTCGGTTAGCAACAATAACCGAAATGAGCATCACAATGCATGTGTTCTAAGGCATAACCAACCAAATGGTCATCTTGTCAGGCATGTTCACATAATTATTTTTGAGAGTTATAAGGAGTTTTGCCATTTAGAAACAAAACTAAATTGTTGTAATATTCATTCACCTGTTCAGATAAGGCACTTCTCAAATATTTAGCATGATTAAGCTTTTGTGTTCAGCGTTTAAATAACAGAAGCTTAAATGAATTCAAACATGGATGGTTGCGTACATTGTGTGCTTTTGGTCTCATGTGGACTCACACTGTCAAACCTGGTTAATAATAATGCTGCAAATGACTGAACTTAAGGCACTCTGAGTTTACATAAGTGATTCGGTGTAAATAAAGTTATTTAAATTTATTTATTATGTTAATCAGTGTAGTATGATAGCAAATGTATGTACATTTTAGTATGGTAATAATATGTATATGGAAATTGATGTTTGGTCATGGTGGCATATGTCTGCTATGCTGCTGCTTTGATAATTATGGCAGAGGAAGTAATGAGACTTGCTACTGCCAGTATATTTACTGACATGCAGTATGAGAATGTAATGTGCTGCTGCAAACAAAATACATATGTAACCCCCCGTAGCAGATCTAAACAGGTGCTGAAGGGTTTTTGAAAAAACGCATTGCACATGCTAGTGTAAAACAACACTGAGGCATTTAAAATGCAGAGGAGCAAGCTCATTGGCTGCTGAGTAGACTGCAAGCAATGTCCTGTGCCATGTAGTTCAGCCTTTGCCTGCGTAGTTTCATGACAGAAACAAGTATGCATTGGAAAGATGCAAAATGTTTATTTTGTACATTTATTGCAAAACCAAAAATAACAAAACAATTTTCATATGCACTTTGAACCTGGGAGGTTGTGCTGAACGATTACAATTTATAATGATTATTGTGGCATCCCTAGTGATTTAACTCGAAAGCATTTTTTGATATGCTGGATTAAAGTGTCCACATCTCAACAGCACTCATGTATGTTGTCAAATTTATTCATGTATAATATAAATAAGTCTTTATCTGAGAAAGGCAAGGAAAAAAAATGTTGGTTCAGACATTACAAGGCTGTTCAACCTGTCTGTCAAGATGTGGATTTGCATACCTCCGTGTACCCTGTTCATACAGAAAGGTCACTTCATCAGCGCACTCCCACTATTCAGACTGGCAGAGCGCATGTCCACCAAAGCAGCTGAAAATGCCTGTGTTCTTCCAGAAATGCTTTTGCTAAGCTCTTTTTCTGTTTAACTCTGAGTTAAACACACTCCAAGTGCCAACTCATTTAAAAACTGCTGGGCAGACAGCATTTTACATGAAACGGATGCTCACCACCTTATCATGCTGTTGGAATTCTAATAAGCAGCATCATTGAAAACAAATATGTTGTTTCTGATGTCCCGAGAAAAAGCGCTTTGGGGGACACTTATTATTACATTCTGCTGTAATATTAATCGTGTTGGACTGTAGTGTTTTCCTTTAAATTTTTTTTTAAGGGTTCAGACTTTTTTTCTTGAAATTTGGAGTGATTTAGAATTATAGTTTTGGAGATTTTTTTTGACTTTAAGACCCAACTAACTTATGCCATTCTTCAGCTCACTAGACATAGGCCGGTATTGGATTCTGACAGTTTGATAGTCTTAGAAATATCACGGTTTCAAGATACCACAGTATTGCGATAACTGCTCTAAAAATAGGTTCTTTTTTGAATGTCTATGTAAAAAATAAAACTTTTTTTCCCTCTTTGAACACATATATTATAAATATATGTTATATTATATAAATATTGTAAATATTTTATTTTATGAAGCATTACAAGTATTTTTGCACAGTAAACATGACAGGATAATGACAGAATAATTCAAGTAAATCCTTAGTTTCAAAAACACATTTTCCTTTACAACTTTGGAAAGGCATTTTTGGAGAGATCTTTCTTTTCTTTGGATATAAAGTAAAGCCACTGCACTTAAGCAGTGCAAAAGCAATTTGTTTTTTATGGACTGACCAGTAGATTTTGATGCGGATATTTCTTTTTCTGGTGGAGATACTGTTACCATAAAAACTAAATAAATGCTTTTTTATACTCCCATAAAAAAAAAAAAAACGTTCATATATATTGTACGAATGATATAACTAAAAATGTAAATGGTTTTGACTTTTCCAAATCACAGAAAACCTTTAAACCGGTTATCGTCCCATGCCTACAGCTGACTTTCTTTCTTTTCTTTTAAAATTTTTTTTTTATTAGCCTTTAAACCATCCTCCTAACTCTGAGTTTGGACAAGGTGGACACATCCTCTTTCAGAGACTGATTCTTAACATTTACAGTTGACTGGAATTTCCCAATCTTCACCCTAATGGTGGAAATGGCATTTTCAGAGTTTTTTCTTGCAGCTTTGTAAAGCTCAACAACCTTTTGCCACAAATCGCAACTCTGTTCTCTGCGTTCATCTATTGAGATAAAAGACTTAATGAATTTGGCCAGGATATTTCTTTGTATGTAAAGCCCTGAGAAACAGTTTGTTGTAATAGTTGAACAATTTTCTGTTTCTCGTCACTTAGATGTACTTAATTTAAGCAAACCAATACATTTAACAAAAATATTGATATTTTTGATTGTTTGCAGACATTATTTATTCACCGAGGAATTCAATATTAGTGGTGGCCAGTGTAGAAACATGTTTGACTTTTGTTGTTGTCTATAATCTGTGTTTTTCTCCTAAATCGTTGGGGGTTGGATGTATTTGTTGATGATCTATAATGCTGAGAGCATGTCTATTGGGTGGAGAGTGTTTCTGGGATTAAGTAGGGCTTATTTTAAGCTCTGCTGTGTGCCACAGCACAGTGCCTCAGTTTGACCTGAAGCTCCACCCTCTGGCTGAGAGTCAGTTCTGCCGGAGTTTAGACTGCAGTAACATGAGCTGATGGGTCAAGATCAAGATTATGATTGTTGATGTGCTTGAATATACTATGACAATGTGACCAGGTGCAGTGGTCTAAATATGGTCTCACATTAGTAAAATCAAAGGATGAATTATTAAAATTTAACTATGTTAACCTGCTTCTGTTACTAGTCGAGCAATTTAGTTTGGTGGTACTTTTTAAAGAAAACATTGTATATTTATTTGTTCAAAAAAGGTCCAAGGTGTGTAAGTTTTCAATGCTTTTGAAGAAATTAAATACTGTCAATGTGTATATGTATTTTTAGTTGTGAAATGTACATTTTCCAAAGTCTTTCTACTAAAAATTCTCTTCAGGTTTACATTTTTTTAGTCATCTAAAATTGCATTTAGTTACTATGTAATTTTTAGATTCATCCTCTACAATCTGATAGATTTTGGTTAAATTGTAATGCATAAATTAAATATGTCTCTAAATTTTCCAAACTAAAATATACTCATGAAGAAAATCTCTTTTAACATAATATTAAAATTGAAAAGAATTAATAATATTAATATGGTTTTCTAATTGCAACACAATAAATCTGTTCATTTAGCGAAATATGCTATTTATTTTTGTTTTAGCTTATTTACTTGGGTGTCACATAATTAAAAAAAAAAATCAGTCTTATGGGGTAGTTTGGTGCTCGGTATTAACAGGGATTTAAAAAATAAAATTAAAAATGATTTAAATAATAAAGCTGAAACCTGTTCTTGGACTGGTTCTGTGACCTTGGGGACTATCAATGAATGGGGAAAAGAATGAATAAAAGTAAAGAAAGAAGCATCAGAAGTAGGGCTGAACAATATATCATTTGAGCATCTGTCTCAATATGTGTATTCACAATAGTCATATCCCTGGATTAGATTATTTACAATATACAATGATGACCAGGTTATTTTAAGTTTGATCATTTCCTTTTTGTATTTTTCATATTGTTAGACCAGAAAACCACACACACTGTTTATTGAACCTTTGTTTGTCCTCTGTCATATTTATAAATGTTTATTATTTTTTTAGATGTTATGCAAATGTACGGCAGAGAAAAGACTTGATCACCCTAGTCAATCCGAATGAATGAAATCTTTGCAAATAGAAGTATTCAAGTCATCTGGTAAAGTTATTCTCATATCATAATATATATCACAGCAGAACAAAACATTGCAATTGTGATTTTTCCAAAATCGTGCAGCCCTAATCAGAAGTATTTATTCATTATTGTAAGGGAAATATTGATGTGTTTTCAATACCCCTAGTGTTTATCTCCCTTTTGTTTTTTTTCTGTCACAATCCTAAAAATAGTCTTCAAAAAAAGTCCAAGCAGCTACTCATGAAAACGGATCCGGTGGCACATCCTGATTGTGACAGTTAGTAGTTACACTTTAGTTTTTTTTAGAAGCATAGTCAGCAAAGTAACACACATCTGTTTAGTGAAAACAGAACTTGATGTTCTCTTTATTTGAGGTGGTGCCGTCACTCCCAGCAGCAGCTTAACAATTGGCAGGAGAGTAACATTCTTCTTGTGCTCTTGTTGGCAGGTACCTGGTGACTCACCTTATGGGCGCTGACCTGAATAACATCGTAAAGTGTCAGAAACTGACCGACGATCACGTCCAGTTCCTCATTTACCAGATACTGAGAGGACTAAAGGTGAAACTGCACTTTTCAATCCTCTGACTAACTCAAACAAGAATGTCAACTCCTAGGAAAAGAAGGAAAAATAGCAATGGAGTGAGAAGTGTTGTGTTCACAACAATGATGAAATGATATTATCTAGACAAATACTTGACCTGTTTTTAGTGTGTAGTTTAATGCTGACCTTGCATTTTTTTTTTTGTTTTAATTTCTGTTTTTCTTGTTTTCTTACCAGTACATCCATTCAGCTGACATAATTCACAGGGTAAGTGTTGCAACTCGGACACATGAGGAATGGCCTGCAGGCTTTTTTCTCCTCAGAAAATCAGTCTGTGCTGCCCCATGGAGTCAGTTCTTTCTGGCATAAAAATATTACAAGCCCAGGCCTGTTTTTGTGTAAGACTAAAACTAAAGATTGCTAGAAATTAATTCGATTTGGGAGATTTTTAAGTTATTTTCAGCTTGATATCCTCTGACGTTTATGACATTGATGGTTGTCATGAAAAAATAACAAACTAATTCTACAATTTGTGATGTATAAAAAAACTGATATGGAATTTTTTACAATATCTGATAAACGATGTAGAGGCCAATTAAATATTAAAATAATTTGTTTTTTATTTGTGGGCAGTTTGAAATTCTGTTGTTTTTGTAGTGGAATAGTGAAAAACTTTGTAAAGCGCATGATTTGTGACATGTATGACACTGGTCAAAATTCTCATCCCGTAAAATATATTGGTAATATTTCTATATTTATATCTAAAAAAAAAGATATGATTAGTATTAATAAGCATTTACTAGCCAATTGCAATGAATTTATCACTACAATAAATACATCTAGACCAGGTTCAAACTAAGTGATTTTAGTATTTTTCTGATAACAACAGCTTGTTCACACCGTTTCAGTTGCCATTATTGAGTTTTCACTCTTGTTTCTGGAAGTTAGATAGTAGTTCAAAATAACAAAAGCTCAAATTTATTTAGAAAAGGAGCACAAATTAAAAAGATTGAGATGCTTACAGCTCAAAAAAAAAAACTTTTTTTGTTTGTTTTCAGAAGTGCTAATGTCTGTGAATTCATATTTAAATGCATGCATTTGTTTTTATGAACTGAGAAACATGTTGTTTTTTTGTCTGTAGTAATTTAAATTACTGCAGATATTCCTTTAAAACATTTAGTCTTGAGTTCTTAACGAATCATAAAATGAGAAAGTGAAGTAATATTTACAAATATTTTTCCAGGATTTGAAACCCAGTAATCTGGCAGTAAATGAAGACTGTGAACTCAAGGTGAGTTAGTCAGATATTTCATGTTTTTTTATACATTTGTTAGTAGTGTGGGTACTCGCAATTTAATTGTTATTAACATTGTCTCAACTCTCTTTCTTGCAATCTCAGATTCTTGACTTTGGCTTGGCTCGACACACAGATGATGAGATGACTGGGTATGTGGCCACAAGGTGGTATCGTGCCCCTGAGATCATGCTCAACTGGATGCACTACAACGTGACGGGTAACACAACTACATCTGATACATCACAAATCTTCACATTTTGATCAGCCATCAGGGGAGGAAAGGCTTTTTAGAGAACCCTTTTGTAATGTTTTTCGAAAGCAGTTTAATGCTCCCATTAATTTGATCAGAAATGATTCAAATAAATAGTAAATTACTACTTGGTAAAATACTAATTCAAGTTAACTTGTTTTAATAGATGTAATATATTTTTAAGAGACTATTCTAATGGTCAATAAATGTTTCCGGTCACTATCTATTATTGTTGTGGAGCTTTTTTTCAAGATTATTTAGTGAATAAAATGTGTTTTAATTGATTTATTGACCTTTTAGAACTGTAAATGTTTTAACTGAAGTATTAAAGTTGTACAAATTATTTAGTCTTAAATGCATTTAGGTTTCTCATATTTTAGTTAGGGGTATATGGTGTGATGGCATCTAATGTAGTCAGTTCAATTGGTATTCATCAATAAAAGTCTCTACATTTTCCAAACTTAAGTACTCCTGAAGAAAACTTTTATTAGCCTGTTAACATATATTTATTTTTTAAGTCATCTCCAGTTAGATTGCTTTCCAAATTGTGGGTGACGAGATAGTTTGGTCAGGACACAAGAAAGTGCATGTGTGTTTGCTGCCTCTCCACTAATGCTGTTTCTTTATTTGTTTTCAGTGGACATTTGGTCAGTGGGCTGCATCATGGCTGAGCTGCTGACGGGCAGGACTCTGTTCCCTGGCACCGATCGTATCCTTTTCCTCTAATTTCCCCTTCGCTGACCTGCTAAACACGCTCCGTAAACCACACCACTGCTATGAGCCACAAATGGCCACAATTAAGTGTTTTTAGAAATATTAGATGAATGTTTTTAACTTTTCATTTCATTCTGTTTGTCTGCATTGGCAACACTGTCTATCTTGTCTTACTCTGAACTTTTGTCCTTCTTGCTTAAGCTACGCCTTCGAGCTGTGCCTCAAGACGCAACAGTGATTTTGAAGGAATTTTGATTCATCATTATGAGTATGGAATAAATGTCCTTGCAGGAAATTACATGCTTCTTTCTCTCTTTTTCCACTTTTTTCCCCAATGACAAATCTTATCATATTTCAGCTCTTGCAGTGTATTTTCCTCCCTCGGCTTTGCATATTTGCCACTCTTGTATCCAGCTCCACACCCTAAGGAACAGATATACTTGCCAAATATTTTCCCCTTCTCGCAGGCAGTGCACACCTGTGCGGCTGCTTCTTCTGACTTGCTTTTTCTGGGCAGGCTGAAAATGTTTAACGTGTGCTATTTTTACCAGCTTGCACGTCTTTTCACAGATATGACTGAAGCTTCTTTGCTTTCCTGTTTTTTCAGTACGCATGAATGTGAAAACCGCTAAGTTCCCTTTAAATTATTCTTCAAAAATAAGCATTCTCCTATGTTCATGTTCAGTTATTTCACTTTAAAGGCAACAAAAAGTGAAAATAAAAGTGAAATTGCTGAATCTACATACGGTGACCATAGAAAAATGCTTATTTCAGATGGCACTAAGAGGGTTTTGCATCTGAACTCTTCACATAAAACCCAAATAAGGTTTAAAATTTTGTGGCGTGTTCATTGTTAAGCCACACTAGTTTTCCTTTATCTTATTTTACTAGACATCGATCAGTTGAAGCTCATTATGCTTTTGGTTGGGACTCCAGGACCCGGGCTGCTAATGAAAATATCATCAGAGTCTGTGAGTTTGATATATTTAGGGAGTGTGTACTTGCTAAAGATGCCTGTGTGTCAATTTTCAAAATGGAAAATCCATTTTAAGCCAGCAGCTGTGCTTTGAAATGGCTTTTCATCTGGTCCAGGAATGTTTACTCCAGTCTTTTATAGTATAGTCTTATTGTCACATTTGATCATCCTAATACGTCATTGCCAAATGAATGTAGTGATTCCTTTCCAAAAAAAGATAGTAAACTGGTAGACCATCTTGGACCTGCTGCAAAACTACTTATGGAATGGTCATTCTGTGTTAAAGAAATTAAATTGGTTTCTTAAACATTGCATTTGGTTAAGCAGCTAACAGCTTTTGTTCTATTTTCACTGATGTGTGGTGATCGTGTTTGTGATTGAGGTCACTCATTTAAAAGTTTTTTCCACTGTTTTCCAACTAAACATTGACTTTACTTTTAGATTGGTGATTGATCGATCTGGGCATCTGTTTGGAATTGAATCTTGGCGTCTTAACCGAAATTAACCTGCCTGATTTTTGTCTTCCAGCAATGCTGATTTCTGCTGCATTTCTGATTGTAACACTATCTTTTGCTATTCAAAGCATGACATTCTTCTGTGCTGTTTGTGAAAACAGTTTGCATGCCACTTCTCTCCTGTCTCTTTGTATTTTCATTCCTGTCTTTCTGCTTAGAGCAATGGAGAATCACACAATCATGTCCAGATCATTTTTGACAGATATGCATTTAGTATATAGATTTGTGATACACTAAATTTGTTGATCGTGAGCTCCTTGACACGGCCTTCAAAGATATAAACCAGCTTCAGCAGATAATGCGACTTACAGGAACTCCTCCTTCCTCTCTAATAAGCAGGATGCCTAGCCATGAGGTGAGCTCGCTGTGGCCCCTGTGGCTCGCTGTGTATTCTGTTTGCAGAATACCCATCATGCCCATTTATTATCACATACAGTCAGGTCCATAAACATTGGGACATTGACACAAGTCAAACATTTTTGGCTCTATACACCAACACAATGGGTTTGAAATGAAATGACTGCAGACTGTCAGCTTTAATTTGAGGGTATTTACATCCAAATCAGGTGAACACTGTAGGAATTACAACAGTTTGCATATGTGCCTCTCACTTATTAAGGGACCAAAAGTAGTTGGACAAAATTCTAATCATAAAGAAAACTTTCACTTTTTAATAATTGGTTACAAATCCTTCGCAGTCAACCACAGCCTGAAGTCTGGAACACATAGACATCACCAGTCGCTGGGTTTAATCCGTGGTGGTGCTCTGCCAAGCCTCTACAGAATCTGTCTTCAGTTCCTGCTTGTTCTTGGGGCATTTTCCCTTCCGTTTTGTCTTCAGAAAGTGAAATGCATGCCCGATCGGATTCAGGTTAGGGGATTGACTTGGCCAGTGCATAACATCTGCTCTGTGAAGCGCCGTCCAATGAGTTCTGAAGCATATGGCTGAATATGAGCAGATAATATTGGCGGAAACACTTCAAAATGAATTTTGCTGCTTATGTCATCAATTAAAACAAGAGAACCAGTTCCATAGGCAACCATACATGCCCACTCTTTGACACTACCACTACCATGCTTTACTGATGAGAATCATGAACAGTTCCTTTCCTTCTCCATACTCTTATTTTCCCCATCACTCTGGTAAAGGTTAATCTTGATCTCATCTGTCTATAGGGTGATGTACCAGCACTATGAAGGCTTTTTTAGAACTCTAATCTGGCCTTCCTGTTTTTGAGGCTCAACAAACTAAAAAAAAGTGGGAGTCACTTATGCAAACTGCATTCACCTGATTTGCATGTAAATACCCTCAAATTAAAGCTGACTGTCTGCAATTAAAGCACATTTTGTTTGTTTAATTTCAAATCCATCGTGTTGGTGTATAGAGTCAAAAACGTTAGTACGATGTCGATGTCCTATTTGCATACTAAGTAGATGCTTATTCAAATAAACTGCTATAAAATGTTCTGTGTAATATGAATGCATTCGAGAAATAAGCTGCGCCTGAATTCAGAAGTTCTTTCGAAATCCAGCTAAATGTTAGTTGTGTCATATGACACACTTTACAGTACACCATGCACATGTACTACTTTTGCTATATGGTAATTCAAGCCATTTCCTGGCAATGTTAAATTAGTGAAATAAATGACCAAACTACTCAATAGTATCAGTAGAACTGCATTCATCACCAGGCGGCAGCATAAATACTTATATGGGAGAATTTAGCTTTTAAAATCCAAAATAAATAAAAAATAAAATAAAATCCAAAATAAATCCAAAATCCTCCCCTTTCACCATATGAGCAAATCTGTGAGCACTGAGTGCATGAGGGGATCAACTTTCCACTTTTTTTTCTCTCTCTTTTTGTTTTAATCAGTTGAATCAGTGCATCGACTGGGTATTTACAGTGCACTTATCCTTTTTTGAATTTTTTGTGTAAATGCATTATTTGCAATATTTATGCTACAAAACGGCATAGGACAAGTATGCTATTTAGGACGCATCGTTAGGAAATTAGATGGTTAAGCATATTGATGACTGATTTTGTTACCTAGCAACCATTGTAATTGTCAATAATTAGTGGCAGTAACGTTTGTACTGACTTTATGCAGGGTATCTGAGGGATTTTAAAGTCTTAAAATGTCTTCAATCTCAAGAACTAAAATAGGAACTAGACTAACGAGCCCTTAAAGTCTTAAATCCACTGAAATATTGTGTTGTATGTCTTAAATCTTTTTTAACAAGTGTATAGCTTTTTTAACATGTATAGCTATCCAATCTGGCCAACACCCATACAATCACCAACAATCCATCTTAATAAAACTTTTAACTTTTTTTTTAAAAAGTAAATTTTTAACTTTATTTGCTGTAATGCTTTAATTATTTTCCAGACCTATATTTTTATTAATAAGTTTATTATTATTATTGTATAATTAAATGTATTCAATTATAATTAATATTATATATAATTTTTTTGTAGGGCAAGTGAAAATCTCTTCTAATATAAAAAAAAATCCTTAGTGTTTAGCCCTGTACGAGTCTAAAATTTAATTCATAATGGTCTTAAAATGTCTTAAAGTCTTAAATTTAACTTGGTGAAACCTGCCGAAACACTGTTTAGAGCTTATATAGGTATTTAATCCATACATTAAAAAAAATGCAGAATTTCCCTTTAAAAACATCCTGTTTTTATCATTCTGTTGTTATCAAGATTAATGAATGAAGATGTTCAAGGTCATATCTTTCATTACCAGAAAAACAAAGGACACATTTAGAGCTACATTTGAAGGAGCCTTCAAATTGAGACAGTCTTCGTCACACTGCGATAAGGCAGACGCCCTTTGAATTTGTCACATTTTTTTCTTCAGTTTTGAAATTGAGAGACAGCTACAGTCGTAGTCGCCATTGTCATGTGACCCACCATCATTATTTGGGTCAATTTTACTGCCATTCATTAATCTTTTCCTGTGGCGTCATGGGAAAGTAAAGTATAAATTAGGCCAGTGGTAGGAAACCAATGGCTTGTGAGCCACATGTGGCTCTTTGGCCTAAAAATAAGTTGCTCTCCGTCTTTATTTAAAAAAGTTTCCTGTTTAAAAAATCCCCTTTTTATTGTATTTTTATAACAAGATGAATGACAAAAGGATGTTTAGACCAATGCATGTGTGCGGAACTGTGGATAAACTTGAATTGCGACACCAATGAAGGACAAACAACTTGCGTGTCTATGGTAACCTCAGTAGTATATATACATTATGTAGTAGAATATATCCCCATGGCTCTTTGAAAATACATTTGTCAAAAAAATCAGAAATGGCTTTTTGCTGAAATGAACAAAGTCATGCAAGTGCCTACTTTTGGTTTTTATTACTTTATTTTATGAACACTGAATTCAGACTGGCCAGTTTAAGTGTATTTTAGTTACTATAGTAGGTAAGCATGTGATTTCAGATGCAGTCAAAAATCTCTCTTTGGAAATATTGGCTCCATTTAGAGCATTGCCTCATTAAAGCCCCAATTAACCGAAAGCTGTGACCTGTATTTTCTTTCATATTGTGACGTAGTTCCTAGAGAAATGTCATGTTAGGCATGTCATTCAGAAAGATCGGGAAAAGGGATTGAAGAGAGTTTTTACAACAGACTCCTGGGGTCCGATCTTTGTATTTAGATTACTCAGTTAGCTGGATTTGGATATTGACGATATGACACGATCCAGGATCATTTCGTTCTTCAAAGCTGATCCGAGAGTTGTTGTCATAGCAACAGTTCTGCTTGCTCAAACCTGATCGGGAGCAGGTTCAATTCGTATAAACAGGATTAGATCGGCTCAGTTCAAGCAAAGACAATACAGAAAGTATGTACCAAATTCTAATATTTTCTTACAGTAGTAGTTATATACTCTTGGGAAATTAGTAAATGTTTTTAAACTATACATATAAAGTTATAGTTATAAAGAAAATAAATAAAGTTTTATATTTATATTAATAAAACTTATGCAATCTGCACCAACAAAATGAAAGTACAAAGATTGCCACCTGGTGGTGCAAAGAGAAAACCTATTGCTATGAACTTTTTAGATCGCTTGAGTACAAATTGTGTGTGAAAATAGACATTTTTTTAAAGCAATAACACATTTATGCAGTCATGAACATGTTTTGACAGTTAATTTGACGGTAATTTGATGCTTCATAAAAGTTGCAGATGCCTTTACCAATATCAAAATGCTTTTGTAAACATCCAATTAAAAAAACAGCTACAATAATACTACTTTGGCTACAATAATAAGGAAAATCCGCTCTAACTGTAAAACTAAATAAACTGCTTTTGACGCATGAAAGGGTCAAGCATGCAGCCCACAACAAGGTGTAAAGTTGTTGTGTGTCATATTTAACAAACCGTTTACTGCGAATTTGATGTAATTTTGCTCACATGGCTAATTGAATATTAATCAGATGATGTCATTACGCTGCTGTGCCGTCAGCCAATCGCTGCATTGCTGATCATGATTTCGAGGATCGATAGATCTGTTCTTAAAATCAGTTCATCCTGACATTCTAATTTGATTCACAAACTTGTTTGAAGAACCAAATTAGCCAGAGATCGGTAATCAAGATGAACAGATCCAGGATCTGCCAAATCATCTAAGATCATTTAAGCAAGGGACGAAGACCGGACCCCTGCTTACCATTTTTGTTTGTTGTCAACTGACAGTTTATGGGGTGTGTCTAAATATTAGCCACACCCATTACCTAAAAATGCACGCAATCTGAGAATTTAACTGAAAACAAACAGGAAGTGCATTTTTAGATTCCAATTACAGATTACACGGGCACACTATTTTTTGTTGATGACATGCACGGATGAATTGTTTTACACAAAACTGTGAGCTAACAAAAGTCATATGGTCAGTTTTGATTTCTTGGGGACTTCAAAAAAAAAAAAAAAAAAAAAAGACTACAATTGCAATATCGCAAGGATTGTTGTTGAATTTTCCTAGTAAACACTTATTTGTTGTGCAATCACTCCACTTAATGTTCCTCTTTTTGATTTTTCTCTGTTTTTGCAGAGTTTTTTTTTTTTTTTTTTTACCAGGTGCAAAAGTGGATTATTCCAAAGATGTTGGCCTTTATATTTTGCAAATCTGTATATTTTGAAATTTTCATCAGGCTATGTCTCAACTGTCATTGTCGTCGTTTTTTTGTTGTATCTCTATGCCAGAATTAAAGCACCACATACTGGTTTGGCATGTATACTACACCACTTTTAGTCAGTTTCAGTAGTTTCATGAGTATGCAATTTTTTTTTTAGACAACAGACAATTTTTTTAGGCAAGTTTACACAACTTTAATCAAACAGGATTGAAAAAAAGGATGGAAAGGGAAAGCTCTGGCTTTGTGTAGATGTAAAAAAAATCTATAAGTATCTAATCAAATTCAGGACAGATAACAAACTGTTGTCGTATTCATTAGTACATTTTCAATACTTCTCCACTTTCTCTTGCGGTGTCCACTTGCTGCCTAGCGTCATGCAGTTTTCACTCATCTCTGCGAGCTGAAATCACTGTCTGTCATCTCCAGCACGGATCCCTCTGCAAATGTTTGCTGCATTATTTAAATGGCACTGCAAACTAACCTAGCACAATGTTATTATTCACAGGGTTAGCAATGTATGTGCAAAACACAAGCAGTTGTCATGGTGATCTTATCAAAAATTACTAGCAAGCTCAAATTTTAATTAGCTTCAAATAAAAACGTCTGATATTTTGGCATTTTCATTTATTCTAACTGCTCATGGTTCACCTGTTGCTTTTTACAGGCTCGTACTTACATCAGCTCACTTCCTCAGATGCCCAAGAGGAATTTTGCAGATGTGTTTATCGGGGCAAATCCACAAGGTAAAAGACATGCTACAATTTAAAAGTCTAGGGCTATTTTGTTATTGGAATACAAATAGCAACATTTATTTTAAAATATAATCTGTAAAATTGCAACGCAAGATGTAAAATGGCAGTGTATTTCTTTATTTAAATGTGCGTTTAAAATATGTGCAATGTTTGGTTCAAAATTAATAATAAATTGTATAATTTACATTTGCGATTTCCAACCACAGTATTAAAATCTCAATTATATACAGATTTTAATACTTTATAAGTTTTATAACTGAAAATGCAATACTCAAATTGATATGTAAAATATTAGGCCTGTAGCCAGCCTATTGAAAGAGGTGGTTATTTTTTGCAGTTATTCGCCTTATTTACTATTCAGTGCTACATTTTAGTGACAATTTAAGCACTAATCTGGATCAGCTTGTCGGATGGTGATCATAACCACACTTTTTTGATGCACCAAAAGTATTTCCTACTATTTTGTCAAAGAGCTTACCATACTTTTTACCATGAAGAAATTATTTACAAATTTGGATTTAAACTGTGAGTTAATCCAGTTTTATAAATATTGTTATGAGATTAGCATTAAAAAAACGAAAAAATAAATATGAAAAAATACTTAATTTTAAATACAAATGTCAAATCTGTCATTTAAGAAACAATATCAATCCAGTAAAACTTGTTTTAAAATAAAAACTGTATCCTATGAGCAAATAAAAAACTGACCAACTCATTCAACTTTCCTCAGTCAGAATTTGGCCCCTTGATAGGGCTGGGTGATTTGGCTTAAAATCAAAATTTCGATTAATTGAACATTTTAACTTGATTACAATTAATAAACGATTATTTAATTTAATTACATTTTTTTCTCTCATAGTTCACGAACAAATTTTGTACAGTAAATATGTTCACTTTGAATGAAGGGTGCATTATTTGAATTTAAAATAATTGAAGGAAACATGCACTATCTACCATTTATGATTATTTAATGTACATCAATGTTGAACAACTGAAATTAGACACATTTTTTTAGACACAACTTGCACTTTTGGAAACAAATAAAATATTTTTAATGTTTTTCTTATTAAAAGTAGAAAATAAGCAGTTTTCTTTTTAAATAAAATAACTATTGTATATCTTGTTAATAATATTTTATTTTACAACATTATGATATACAGTGCACACAGTGTAAACTATTATTTTAATGTAAACTAGAGTTGTAATGTTATGGAAAATATGCTGTCGCAAAGCTTCTCTGGCGCAGCTTCTAATCATTGTCGGTTTTTTGCAAAGTAAGGCTTGACTAGAGATCAGATAAATACTTCTGCTTCAATGTGGATGCAGACAACTTAAATCATAATTTAACACAAAACAAAAATTTGATCCATTACACGCTCTCAATGTTGATTATTGTGTGATTAATTGCCCAGCCCCTTGAATATAAAAAATGTATTTGGTCTTAAAGCTTTCTTCTAGCTACAATTTTCAGCAGTCAAAAATTGGATAAATGAGATCATATAGGGGTCAAATTCTGGACTTGTTATTTGTCCTATATGTATAGCATTTAGACTTGCGATTAGAAAACATAGGACTGCATTTTTATCATTACAATTTGGGATGTTTGTAACAAAATTAAAAGTGTATTTTAAAAGGCATTCAGAGCCAAATGTGTAGTAAAAATGTAGCAAAATGGTGTCTAATGCAGTTAGGACAAATACCATTTAAATTATCATTTTGCTATAATTTTTACTTGTATGTTACACACATCAATTCAATTTGGATAATGCATTTTTAATTCAGTTTAGCAACTTCTAAATCATTTAAATATGTAATTTACGTATTACAGCTATTATTGGATATGGCAAATGTAATTTGTATAATTTTTCATTTTGCAGGAAACTTATAGAATGCTAATTGAAATGATTAAATACATCACATTTTACATATTGCATTACAGTTTTGCATATTGCTAAAATATTTACTATAAATTACTATATTAATATATTTACCATACATATACCTAAATATTACTTTTTTTTTGCTACTGATATGCTTCCATCATTTTAATCTTATGATGTACAGTGAGGATCATTTATATAATACAAGCAGAAAATTCATTAATATTGAGAAATATTACATTTTAAAATAACTTATTTTAAATTTAATATGTAATTTATTCTAACGACATGGGTGAATAATCATCAAGAAATAGTCCAGTTATGTACTCTAATTATCAATGATGAAAATACGTAATAAAATACAAGATCAATATATTTTTTATCACTTTTAATCGATGTAAGGGATTCCTGCTGAATAAACATTTAATATCTGTCCATTTAAAATAAATTGATCAATCAATAACTACAAACATTTAGCTTTCCATTGATTACAAAATAAACTGGACAATAAAATTATTCCTATTATTGTAGGGTTTTTTTCCGTAAGTTTGCTTGATAATATAGAGCCGATTGTTCATTTACTTTCATATTTTGTGTATGCAGCTGTGGACCTCCTGGAGAAAATGCTGGTTTTGGACACTGATAAGCGGATTACAGCAGCAGAGGCTCTGGCACATCCATACTTTGCCCAATATCATGACCCGGATGATGAACCCGAAGCAGAGCCTTTTGACCAGAGCTTTGAGAGCCGAGAGCTGGATATTGAAGAGTGGAAACGTGAGTCGAAGTTTAAACAAGTTGCTGAGTACAATGAACAACAATAACCACCATATTGAGAAAGCGGCAGCAACAACAACAGCAACCTCTCCATAACTTCATCCTCTAATGCTAGAGATGTTCAAGGCTGGTTCAGTATGAGACTGCTGCTGTCAGTTAACACTAAAATTTTATTTATTTGTCAACATAATAATTTAATGTATTATTTAGTTATCATTTATTTAGCACTATTTTGTTTTGCTCTATGGTTTTACCAAAGCTACATAGTTATCCAACATTACTAGCCACTCATTATTTTCACTAGCCACAATTTCACAAACAATTTATTCAACAAAAATGTTCTTAAAAAAACAAGTTTGTCTAGGCTAAAGGTCCCAATTCACCAGATATCTGTACATAAATGTAAAGTTAATATCATGTTAAAGCAATGTTATTGTAAAACATGATAAATTAAAAGTGTTAACAAATATAACTATAGGCAAAAGAAAGCAAGTGAAAAACATTCTGTGTGCAGTAATGAAAGGATGTCTGCGTGCACATGGTTAATGTTAGGCTCATTAATGATCTGTAAAAGAATGGTGAAAGCGAAAGCGGCAACCACTGCTGTTTACGAAAAAATCTCTTTAAAGCAGCATCGTTTTATTTCCAGTCTATTTCAAAGTGAAGCAATCACACCAGTTGCGATACTAAAGCCCTCATCGGTGAGTTAGGATTGTCTGTATCCCACTGTGCGCCTGATCATCCTCTTATTCTGTATTACTCTGCTTTTTTTTGCTTGTTCAAACAGTTATTTTTGTCAGTTGTGCTGCTTCTTGATGCTAAGATCACATTTGCACACATATTAGCAAACGATCAGAAACTAAAATTCTATTTTTTAGTGACAAGGCAGCACTGGAAATTTGAAATAATTTTCAACCTACCCAAGTGGTTAGTGGGAGTGTCTGTCTAACCCACCAAAGCTAAAATCTACCCACATTTGGCAGGTGTTAATTTCAAGCCCTCTAAATAGGGCAAAATATTGGCTTTTACTTTTACAGATTTAAAGGAGAAACATTATAAATGGAACTTGCGTAAATCAGTACCTTAAAAGTCTGTCAGGTAAACATGCAGTTTTTTATGACTTTGCTGTCTGTTACATTGTTTTCATAAACTGTACAAAAACATATGCAAACTGTTGATTTGGTAACAAAACAACATTAGTTTTTTTTTGTTGTTGTTTGGGGGATTTGTTAGGCTGGACAACACTAGTTGGTTACAAAATTTACTTTAAAATGTTAATAGTATTTTTTTTTTATTTTAATTATAATATTAAATATTACATATTAAATTAAAAAGGTCTATAAAATTTTTTGGAAAGATTTAATTTGCATTAATAATTATTTCTACTCATACTATTTTTTACAGCTGTGTGAATAGTACAAAATAAAGATGTAATACTAACTGTAATTTAATTTTAAAACTTTTTGTACAATTTTCGGTTGTTTTTCTTATTAAACGTCACATTTTTCATCCAGTATTTGTATAAACATTGTTAATTGTTTTAATACATTTAAAATAGCTCTCTCTAAAACATGTAAAGAGTGTCTGATCAGTTCATTTTAGTAGGAGATGTAGTTTTAAAGTCTGTTGCAGTCACACCCTTAATTGTCTTTTTTGTTTGTTTTGTTTCTGCTCAGGTCAGACATACGAGGAGATGATCAGTTTTGAGCCTCCAGTCTTTGATGTGGATGAAATGGAGTCTTGACCTTTTATTCTGGATGGCAGTCAAACCAACTGTACTACTTGTACAGAAAAGCTGTAATTTGCAGTATTGTAATCAGCAAGCCAGTCAGCTGTTTGACTTATTCTTTTCATTTACAGTATATATATATTTTTCCAAATATCGTCTTCTGGGCCAAACAGAAGGAAAAGATGTCTTAGAAAATAATTATTTTACTCTGTGAACCTCCAAAAAATGAAATTATTTTTTAACAGTTTGCTTGGTCAGTTTCACAATGTTCGTTTATGACATTCATGCAAGGCCACATGTAATTGTAATGTCTCCCTGAATATTCATACTACTTGGTTGTTCACTCTTTGTACAATGTATCACACTTGCAGTATATTATATTTTATTTTTAAATGTTCAAAAAACATTGTTCATTTACTTTCTGTTAAATATAGATATATTTTTTCCAATCAAATGAACAATGTATTTAACAATTTTACAGCTTCTCAATCATTCTGATGGATGAAGAATGTAAATTGCTGCATTGGTGATATGTTCAGGCTGTTTGTAAATATATATGCTCCATTAGGCTGATGGAATCTTTACGCATTTTATTTTTGATCTTTTTCCCCACATATATTTTGTGTATGTTTCTTAGGGAATGAACATGTGATGCGTGCGTGCGTGCGTGCATGTGTGTGTGTGTGTGTACCTGAGGTTGCTACTGTGAACTGTATGCGATCTGAATGAATGATTCTGCCTCCAGTAGCTGTTTTTAAAATACTATTAATTGAATGTTCAAATATGAAAGTAGAGTAAGATATTTATATACAGTTGAGGTGGTATTTATGAACCTGAAAGGCTGCATCTGTCCGCTTTAGCATCTGATATAGAAAACATGGACTCAAACACACCATTGTTTACTGAAAATAAAGGCCAATATTTTTCAGAAACGTCTGCTTTTTCATTTTGCTTGTTGGTTTGGTGTTGGACAACAGCGACTGAAGTTCATTCATTCATTTTCCTTTAGCTTAGTCCCTTTGTTTGTTAGGGGTTGGCACACCGGAATGAACTGCCAACTTATCTAGCATAAGTTTTTCGCAGGCCCTTCCAGCTACAACCCAGCACTGGAAAACACCCATACACTCTCACATACACACACTTTGGACAGTTTAGTTTATTTAACTCGCCTATAGCGCAGGTATTTGGACTGTGGAAAAAAACCCACGCCAACATGAGGAGAACATGGAAACTCCACAGAGATTCGCCAAATGACCCAGCAGGGGCGTGAACCAGCAACCTTTTAGCTGTAATGTCGCCCATGACTGAAGTTATTGACTTCTTAATTCATGCATGCCTCTTGAGTATCATTTAATTATTACTAATTTAATTAAGCATGTTATCATTGAAATTACCTAAATAACATTATTGTTACCTCAAAAAAGTGAACCCAACGATAAATTAACCACTGTTGCTATGGTTACCCGATACTTTTTTTAATTTAAGGGCCTTTGCCTATACTTTCTGTGTTCATCGTTTTTGGATTTAAATTCCATATCTTCGTCTACTTAAGTCACATATTTCTATAAATATTTTTACGACTTTTTAAAACATCCATGTTAAGTAAAAAAGTTGATCACAGTACGGTCTGTGAACGCGCTGAGGTCAAGACGCGCGTGTCCGGACGCGCGCGCATGCGCAAGTGCTACCCAAGCCGCCAACCAAGGGGCCAACATGGAGAGAAAAGGTAATCCCTTCCTTGACTTTCTCTGTATATTATTTACCGCCTTTGGAGCTAAAACGATTATACATGAGGCAAGGCGACTAACTTACATTCTGATTCCAATGAGTAGCGTAATTTTAATCCCCAAATGCGCATTTTTCTTGTTTTTGAGACGCATGGGCTGGTGTCTTTAGCGTTAGCATTTAGCCATTCAGTCTGCAGCTGAAGTGAGCTAAATATATTTTCCTCACGCCCCAGAGGCATGTTTTAATATCGGGTTGTATTTACTTCACTTCAGCGACTTCGTTTGTCTTTTGTTTTAGATAGACGTTAAACATACTAGCAGGCGCGTGCACGTATCAGCTGGATGAGAATTGAAAGCTTGTTTTTCCTCTTTGCTGTCGTGGAAACTTTAGGAATTTCCTTCAGACTCGCTTATTTTGCATCCTTTCCGTCGTTATTAAAAACCTTCGTGTATTTGAAGCTCCACGTCTGCACTCATTTAAAGCGCTCGGTTCCTGTCACACTGTAAACACACAGCTGTGTATTGTTTATGTGCATTATATAAGATTACATAAGATCAGCGACGCCGGTCTGCGTAGCTCTTGTGTTATTGTCAGGTTATGTTTTGCTGTCATTGAGTTTGACGGATTATTATTTTTGTCATCATATCTGCATCTCATTTGTCACCAGTTCTGGCACTGCAGGCGAGGAAGAAAAGGGCCAAAGCCAAGAAGTCGACCAAGAAGTAAGTTTTGTTCTGTTAGTAATGTTACACTAGACCTAAGAGATGGGTCTTTAATATGGAAAGTATTTTGATTATAGGATGTAGTTGTACTGTTGTGCTATTAAAACAACACACCGATGTTTTTATACATTTCCATATAGTGCTGTAGAACAGAATGAGTCATTGTAAGTTTGATCAGATTAATCAGTTTTTGTTGTTGAATCGTGTTCATCTGATAATATTGGTGAACATTTTGGCAGAACGAAGTCTGCATGCATTTTTAGCATGCATGGTAGAGCTGAACAATATATCGTCTGAGCATCAATATCGCTGTGTGTGTATCTGCAATCGTCACATTGCAGAATTAAATTATTTATTAAAGATTAAAAGATAAAGATATTAGTACATTTTAGTTCTAATTAGTCTTACAATAATGTTCATGCTGTTTTTACAGGTTATTGTTCAATTTTTGAACTAAAATGCTGTTTCACTAACCAGAAAACCATGAAGGACTGTTTATTTATTATTTATTTTGCTTCTTATTTATGCAATTAAATGATAAAATAGAGTCATTTAAGTCATCTAGTGAAATGATATTGATATCGCAATATACAATGCTTAGCATAATTGCGTACACACCATTTTGAAATGAATATCTGTATCCATTTCTCAGTGAATATAGGCAATGTGTTTTGGTGCATTAAAACAAAACGGAATATTTTAGTCACCAAACTTATTTAGAAATTGAAAGATAATGCAGTTAAATCCAATCAACTAAATTTTTAACTAAATTTGTATTTAATATTTTTCTGTAACATAAATTTGGGTGTAATAGTTTTTGGAACGATATCATAAGTTATTTGGTCAGATAAGCTGAAGATTTGGCTTTAGTTCTGACTAGTCTAATGTATAGCTTACTATTAAAAATATGAATTTAAAAGATAGATTTGTGAGGGGTTTACAAATATATGCTGAGCTCTGTATATCACAGTAAAAGAATTTTTTTTTTTCTAAATATCGTGTAGCCCTAATGCATTGTATAAAGTTGGGCTTTTTCACTTGAGTTTTAGTAATGTTGTACGACACAGGTGTATTTTTTGCAATGGGTGTTTATTAACCATGCATCGATACCTTTGCAGTCAGTGAAACGCATCCTAACGCTGACTGTGTTTCTAAATTTGATCAACATTTTATTTCAATAAAAGAATTGATGTTGTTGAAAAGAAAACACAAGGCTTGCATTGACATCTTGGCTGAGTTTGACATTTTTAAAGTATTACCATGCAAGTCAAGTTTATTTCTATTTTGGATTTTACAATATAGACTGTCAAAGAATTCAGTTTGTAGTAGTAAACTAAAAAAGGTGTTAGCTTTGTACAAATTGTTTGATCATGATTTAATTGAACTATAATTACAAAATCTGTTTTAGTTTAAAAATGAGGTTATATAATTGAATTATTCAGATCACTTTGTTTCAGTGTTGTTCTTAATTCACTAAAATAGTTGTTTTTCAGCCTTAGAGTCTTTATTAAACTTTCTGTAATTTAAGGCTTTATAATGTCAGTAGATAAGTAGAAATGAGGAGATAGACAGAAGTCTATGACCATTGCATTAAATGTTTCTTGTCATGTATAAGTTATCTTCTCTATTGAAAGCTTGTTTTTCCTCTTTGCTGTCGTGGAAACTTTAGGAATTTCCTTCAGACTCGCTTTTTTTTTGCATCCTTTCCGTCGTTATTAAAAACCTTCGTGTATTTGAAGCTCCACGTCTGCACTCATTTAAAGCGCTCGGTTCCTGTCACACTGTAAACACACAGCTGTGTATTGTTTATGTGCATTATATAAGATTACATAAGATCAGCGACGCCGGTCTGCGTAGCTCTTGTGTTATTGTCAGGTTATGTTTTGCTGTCATTGAGTTTGACGGATTATTATTTTTGTCATCATATCTGCATCTCATTTGTCACCAGTTCTGGCACTGCAGGCGAGGAAGAAAAGGGCCAAAGCCAAGAAGTCGACCAAGAAGTAAGTTTTGTTCTGTTAGTAATGTTACACTAGACCTAAGAGATGGGTCTTTAATATGGAAAGTATTTTGATTATAGGATGTAGTTGTACTGTTGTGCTATTAAAACAACACACCGCTGTTTTTATACATTTCCATATAGTGCTGTAGAACAGAATGAGTCATTGTAAGTTTGATCTGATTAATCAGTTTTTGTTGTTGAATCGTGTTCATCTGATAATATTGGTGAACATTTTGGCAGAACGAAGTCTGCATGCATTTTTAGCATGCATGGTAGAGCTGAACAATATATCGTATGAGCATCTATATCGCTGTGTGTGTATCTGCAATCGTCACATTGCAGAATTAAATTATTTATTAAAGATTAAAAGATAAAGATATTAGTACATTTTAGTTCTAATTAGTCTTACAATAATGTTCATGCTGTTTTTACAGGTTATTGTTCAATTTTTGAACTAAAATGCTGTTTCACTAACCAGAAAACCATGAAGGACTGTTTATTTATTATTTATTTTGCTTCTTATTTATGCAATTAAATGATAAAATAGAGTCATTTAAGTCATCTAGTGAAATGATATTGATATCGCAATATACAATGCTTAGCATAATTGCGTACACACCATTTTGAAATGAATATCTGTATCCATTTCTCAGTGAATATAGGCAATGTGTTTTGGTGCATTAAAACAAAACGGAATATTTTAGTCACCAAACTTATTTAGAAATTGAAAGATAATGCAGTTAAATTCAATCAACTAAATTTTAAACTAAATTTGTATTTAATATTTTTCTGTAACATAAATTTGGGTGTAATAGTTTTTGGAACGATATCATAAGTCATTTGGTCAGATAAGCTGAAGATTTGGCTTTAGTTCTGACTAGTCTAATGTATAGCTTCCTATTAAAAATATGAATTTAAAAGATAGATTTGTGAGGGGTTTACAAATATATGCTGAGCTCTGTATATCACAGTAAAAGAATATTTTTTCTAAATATCGTGTAGCCCTAATGCATGGTATAAAGTTGGGCCTTTTCACTTGAGTTTTAGTAATGATGTACGACACGGGTGTTTTTTTTGCAATGGGTGTTTAACCATGCATCGATACCTTTGCAGTCAGTGAAACGCATCCTAACGCTAACAGTGTTGCTAAATTTGATCAACATTTTATTTCAATAAAACAATTGATGTTGTTGAAAAGAAAACACAAGGCTTGCATTGACATCTTGGCTGAGTTTGACATTTTTAAAGTATTGCCATGCAAGTCAAGTTTATTTCTATTTGGTTTTTACAATATAGACTGTCAAAGCATTCAATTTGTAGTAGTAAACTAAAAAAGGTGTTAGCTTTGTACAAATTGTTTGATCAGGATTTAATTGAACTATAATTACAAAATCTGTTTTAGTTTAAAAATGAGGTTATATAATTGAATTATTCAGATCACTTTGTTTCAGTGTTGTTCTTAATTCACTAAAATAG